GACAACAACCCGGCCCCCGGCTCAAAAAGGTTGCCTACCCCTGGTTTACATGTTGTAAATTACTTAAGAGAGTGCTTAGTTCACTATGAAGCGGTATAGAAATGTAAATGCTATTGCTATTGCTAGTATGAAAAGACTCCTTATCGCATCCCTCTATGAACCATCTGCTCCCCCAAGATTTATCCCTTTACTCCAGTACCCAGTAAACTGCTGCCCTTCCTTTACCCTTCGATCTGCAGGGCTGTAGGAGGGAAATGCAGGCTGCATCTCTGGATAGTCAGGCGTTACGTTTCCTTGGGGTGCATCCCACGATGACTCGCCTGTCGCTGTGTTATAGAAGAACACCTGTCCGCTGGCTTCATCTACATATTGGTCCCACTCTGCAGGTGTGGCAGGACTGGGAGCAAGCAAAGGTGAGAGCGCTTGCGTAGGACTTGTGCTGTTCACAGAAGCCTCAAAGGGAGATTCCCATGTCGTTTGGCCAGTTGCTGGATTGTAATAGAACAGGTGACCAGTTTCTGTGTCCGTATGGGTCTCCCAGTTGGTCAGGGGACTGGTGAAGTGGGGCTCAGGTGTGGATGCAGCATGGCTGGCTGTAGAAGCACTCTGTTCCAAACCAAGCTCCTGTAGATTCACATACACGGGATCTGTGTCTGCTTCTTCGTGTGGCTATGGGATCAATAAAGAAAAGAGGTCATTTAAGTGCATCATAAGCATACAGCAGGAGGAAACCCTTGGCTTTCCAGCAGTGGATGATGGTAATGGAGTGTGGGTATTGTAGTGCAAAGTACGGAATCTGGAATATTCCCCCACCTTTGGAAACTAAATTTTAGGGTGCTGCAAGGTGTGCTCCAAATTGAAAGATTTTTTTGTGAAAGATTTTTGGGCCCTCCAGACATTTTGGATAACAAATGCCACAATCCCTGATCACGGGCCATGGTGGCTGGGACTTCTGGGAGTTAAATCCAAAATATTTGGAGGACAAAGTTTCCCCAAGACCTGTAACACCTAGATGTAGAAAAATCATATGCATATCCTATGACAGAACCTAACTAAATCTCTGAGGTTTGGTCGGTAGTATTTCACCACCTCCATCTTTTCCAAAAACCGTAAACCTCTCTTCTCTCATTGTTGGCAGCCTCTTCCCAGGGCCATTTGAGGACAAAAAAAGTTTTAATTTTTTTTTTTAGGATCTTGAAGGTTACAAAAATTATCCTGGGGAATCATATATGGCTGTGGGGGGCACACTTTCCCAAGCCTGCTTTAAGAGCACAGTCCCCCAAAATTAACAAGCCCAAAATATTTTGCTCTCTGAAGCAAAGATGGCACAACAGACTGTACTTCACTCATTCCGTGGCAAACATGAAGCCCATTAATACTACATAATTATAGTGCTATGATTCAACTTTAATTCTCATGGATGCATCCCAAGGAATCCTGGTAGGATTGTAGTTTGATGGGGCACTAGAACTCTCTGGCTGAGAATTCTAAATACTGCTCCCTACATTGTAAATCAGAGCCAGTGTGGCTTAGTGATTTGAGTGTTGGATTACGACTTGGGAAACCAGGGTTTGAATCCCAGCTTGGCCATGGAAACCCACTGGGTGAACTTGTGAACTTGGGCTAGTCACATTCTCTCAGCCTCAGGGGAAGGCAATGGCAAACCTCCTCTGGAAAAAAATGCCAGGAAAATCCTTTGAAAGGTTTGCCTTGGGGTTGCCATAAGTCGGGGATGACATGAAGGCACACCACAACAAAAACTGTAAATCCCAGCATTACAATGGATAGAATCATGGCAGTTAAAATGGCACTATAATTGATTAGTACAAAAGTACCCTTGGTATTTACATAATTCTATTCTTTTTTTAAATATTGTGGCTGCAGTCCTTTAAAAGACTGCTTTAAAAGGTGACATATCCCTCACACATTCGGTGCAGCTCTGTTGCTTCTGTCCTCTTTAAAGGGCAGTCAGTGCTAGTGATCCGAGTGTTGGACTATGACTCTGGAGTTGTTGTTATTGTTTCCTTCAAGTCATTTATGACTTAGGGGGACACTAACGGCAACCTATCACTATGTTTTCTTGGTAAGTCTCTTAGACCAGGGTTCAAATCCCCACTCAGTCATGGAAACCCATTGGGTGACCTTGGGCAAGTCACACATTCTCAGCCATAGAAAACTCCATGGGGTTGCCATAACTTAGAAAACTTGAAGGCATATACGAACAAGTGTTTTAAAGATTTATTTTATTTCCCTGGCCTTATTTTGGAGTGGGGAAAAATAAAGGGTTTCTTTTCTTTGTAATAAAGATAATGGTCATCACAAAAGCCTAAAGGTAGTGATCCCTGAAACAGATTATTCCATCACCACCAGCACTTGTAAGCACTCCTATTTTCACAGTTTAAGGAACTATGACCTAGCCATTCAAGCAAGAAAAGGGGTAGTTAATGGGTAAACCCATTTCTCAGAAGGAGAAGGCACTAGGCGCCAACACACTGCCAAATTATCCATATGCAGGTGAGAAGCAGCTGGATCCAGCAACCCAGAGAGAATAAGGCAGAGCCCTTTAGTACATCTTCAGAGGCTCTGCTCTATCATATACCCAAGATAAAGCCTCTTAACTTGTAAAAACTGGTTCTGACGGGTATGTTCTAGTTCAGATTGTGTTTATGCTGTCTTGGAGACTCTCTTTACTGCTGTTGCCTGTATTCCAAAGATCAGACACTAGAAAAGAGGATCTAGCGCCCAATCTCATCAATATTTTAATCTGGAATGGAGATGATCTGGCCCTCCAAAGGTTATTGCACCACAACTCCCATCAGTCCTCCTAGTCAGCATAGTTCAATAACATCCTGATGACTGCACATTCCCCATTCCTGCTTTACATTGATAATAACTGTGCCCAGAAAGCAAGCTTGCAGTTCCCCTCTTATTTCTCCCATGACATTAATGCTCTTTTTTTGCCCATGCCATGGACAGCTTCATCTGCTGCTTTCTGCAAATCCAGCTGTTGTTCAAGAGACATAGGAGCAGCTCAGGCCAGTTTTTCCAGTTGATCATCATCAATCAACCCTATACATATAAAACCACAGTGACGAAAGAAAGCTTGAGTAAATACAGTACCATATAAAAATGAAGTAGAAGAGACAGCAGTCCTAAAATTCTTTACAATGCCCAGATATTTACGTAGATTTCCATGTTTTTGGAATAAGATGGACTAATAAACCTTTAGGAGACAGCATGGCTTAGTGGTTTGAGTGTTGGACTACGACTCTGGAGATCAAGGTTCGATTCTCTGCTTGGCCATGAGACCCAGTGGGTGACCTTGGGCAAGTCACACTCTCTCAGTCTTATGAAGGCAATGGCAAACCTCCTCTGAACAAATCTTGCCAAGACAACCCCATGATAGCAGGGTTGCCATAAGTCATAAACTACTTAAATGCACACAACAACAACAACAAATAAACCTTTTACATGGCTCCCACTTTTTCTTCAGCCCCTCTTCCTTCTTTTTTGTCTTGCTGAATTTCTTCTAGTAGTGTCATTACAATTTTATTTATGAATTATGTTTTTGTAAGCTAGAGAGCCAACACGGTGTAGTAGTTCAAGTATTGGATTCTGACTCTGGAGACTCTGGAGGGTTTGAATCCCAGCTTCGCCATGTAAACTCACTGGGTAACCTTGGACAAGTCACACTCTCTCAGCCTCACAGGATGGCAATGGCACCCCCCCAAAGAAATTTGCCAAGAAAACCCCTTAGGGTTGCCATAAATTGGAAACAACTTGAAGGCACACAACAATGTCAGTGTTTACATTACTAGCTTTAGAGTTTCCTAAATCAACTTTACATTATTTAGAAACCCAGCATGGTAGTTTGAATATTGGACTATGACTCTGGAGATTAGGGTTTGAATCACTGCTGAGCCATGAAACCCACTAGGTGACCTCACACAAGTCACATTCTCTCAGCCTCAGAGGATGGAAATGGCAAACCCTCTCTTAAGAAATTTGCCAAGAAAGCCCTATGATAGATTTGCTTATAAGTTGCTTATAGGTTTGCTTATAGGTCTTATAGGAAACAACTTGAAGGCATACAGCAACAAGAAGAAGCTTGGAATAGCCCACTAGTTTTACCAGTTTATACTAGTAAGAGTTTGGCCACATCACTTGCAGCCTGAGTGGGCACAAATAATATTCCCACAAATAATATTCGTTTTTCTTAAAGTCTAAGTATATTTACCCAGAAGAAAAATCCCCCCCAACACAGGGAGAGGGGAGTAGCGCCTGAGACCATGCTCAGCCTGCCTGCAAGAGTGAAAGAAGGGCTTTCTCAACTGAATGAAACAAGAACAGAGAGAAGAAAAGCTGCAAATTATAAGCTAAATTACAATACAGCTCTTGAGACAAACATCATAGTACTGGACTGAGTGGCCATGGATTCGATTGAAGCCAGTGGCCAGGACTGATCCAGATTTGGCTAAACTGAGCAATTGTTGAACCAGTCACTATCTCTCAACCTTACCTACTTTTGCACTTAGAAATCAATTTGCAGCAACAGAAGTAAGTTGAGGACAAAGGGGGAAGGTGGGAGAAGGCGAAAGAAAATGAGATATTTTAAAAGCAGCTGACAAAGCAGGATGACAGAGGATAAAATGGGATTGTCTGACAAATTGGGGCAGTTGGAGGGCATATTACTGTGAGACTAAAAACAGCAGAAGGGCCATATAGACTTGAGCTGCTTGACTGAAAGGGGCATAAGGGAAAGGGAAAGAAATGAAATGAATACAAAAATAGGAACGTACTGTATTTGCCTTCCTAATATATTTGAAAATAAATAAATATTACAAACATGCCTTGGTGTTTTTGAAACTCTCTCATATCCAAAGGAAACAGCTTTAAGTTTCCCCTTCAAATTTCTCAGCATTCAGAAGAAGTAGAAACACTTGATTAGGTACATGCAAAATCCTATGTGCATACTTTTCCAGAATTCTTTCTGCTCTTTGGCCAACGCTAGCAATATAAAACCACAAACTACCTAGAAATAAGCTTTACTGAAATCCAGTTAATAAAGTTTGGGACCATGGCAGAAGACAGAAAGCATACTGGTCAGATTTAAAGTCCCAAATTTTAGTTTGTGTGGCCACCATATTAATTATTATTCAAGGACTAATTATTGTTAAACAGTATTTCCAGAGAGTCATATTGATCGACAGCTAGCTACCGGTAGCTAGATATAAACAGACATCTAGATCCTGCCCATAAACTTATACATTAATGACAAGCAAGACCTGGAATACAACTCAGCACAAAAGTCAGAATCATACAAGCCATCGTGTTCCCTATTACCATGTATGAATGTGAGTAGAAAGAGAGGAAGGCCACATGCTAGATGGATGGACTTTATTAAAGAGACCACAAATATGAGTTTGTGGAAATATGGGCAGAGCAGTAGAGGACAAGGGGGCCTGGAGATGTTTCATTCATAGGGCCACCATGGGTTGAGATCGATGTGAAGGAAGTTAACAACAACAACAAAGACCTGGAAGTTAAGGAAGGTCTAGCATAGTTAGTACTGTACTTGGATAACAGACTGCCAACAAATACCAGGTGCTGTAGGCTACATTTCAGAGGAAAGTACTGGCAAAACCACCTCTAAGTATTCCTTGCCTAAGAAAACCCTATGAAATTTATAGGGTTGCCATTAAGTCAACAAGCGACTTGTCATACACACAAGACTCATCAGGGTGGGCGAGAAGTCTTCAGAAGAACAGAAAAGCCTAATAGTGAATGGAGGGTGGGGGGAAAAGTTAACAAAATTTAGCATGATAGTTTAAAAACATATTCTAGTTTCTGAGGACACTAGAAAAGTATGGCTCAAAAAGAGGTCTCTATAGGAGGGCCAAAAGGTCAGAGTGTGGCCAAAGTTTAGGAACTAAAGCACAGATTCTCCAACAGCAGTATTTGTGTAGTCAGCAGGCAGAAAGCCTTGAGTCTACTGGGTGTGTTTGCACATAGAATAAGATGCAAAGGTGTTACAGCACAGATATGCACATAGACAGAGTGACACAGACTGACTCCAAATGGGGAAGTGTCAGTTTTATTCTTGGACACATGCAATTACCGGGAGTTGAAGACACAAATAGATTCCAAGTTGTGCAACTCAGTCTAGAGAAGAGGAAAGAGCACCAGGTTAGAGACCCTTCCAGAGTTAGAGCAGGGTGGTGGACTCACTCCATGGCTTTTATCAGAGTCTGTGATTATTTGCAACTCAAAAAGAGTTAAATGAGAGTTGGTGAAATAGAGAAGTTAAGGCAGAGAGGCTCCTTGCTGATGGGATCTAAATTCCTTTAAGTCAAAAGACTGTGGGGTTTATGTTGCAGAGATGCTCCTTCTCCAGCTTCTGCAGGGTTCCTTCTCCATCAGTTGTAGATAACACAGGAGGACAAGGAAATAATACCAAAAGACCAAAGAGAAGGCAAAGAGTGAGCATAGCTCAGAAGGAGTCTGGAGGTTCAGAATAGGAGTATGGGGGAAGAGAGGGAACTCTTGCCCATGAGTTTAATAGATAGCATTAGGCAAGCTACTGTTCTCAG